TCAAAACCCTGTAATCCATTTACAGTAGACTGAAAACAAAGACCGCAGTTGTGAACATTTAGAAATGTATGTGAAGTAACTCCAGCTTGTCAAGGAGCCCCTGAAAGTATGGTCCTACTATAATTTATGGTAACACCCAAATTGGGTTGTATTCACCTTCAATGCAGAGATTTGTTTCTGGTGCTATATGTCCTCAGTTTGATGGCGAGCATAATTTAACCATCATTTTTCACCCTTTGAGCCTAGCTTATCCCCCCAGCCTGTGTCTTTACAGTGAATAAAGAGGAAGCACAGCAATGAGTTCATCTTTCTATCATTTCTATTATTAATTATTCTATTATTAATTAATGTATATGTTATAATGCCCTCTTCTTTTATCAGCATCCTTGGTCGGCACATGAACTGATTAGTTATTTACTACTACTTCCTACAACACTTTGCAAATGGATGAGGTCAGATTCAGGTACTGCAATAAAAAGATATACTGTAGCTATGGAAGAGAAAACTTCCAATGGGAACACATCTAGTGACGATTGCCTAAGAGGGTGTTTCTCTCTCTTTCGGAGAAATTTCCTCTCACTTACTCTTGTATCTATAAGACAAAAAATCTTAAAATTTAACAGACTTGGGTTTTAACATTTCCCTACTTTAACCAATATAACATTTTGGCTTTAGATACTGTATACTTTAAAGGTAAATGTTTTAGGGTAAATAACTCCCAAAAAGTTCCGATTTGCTCAGATAGAGATTGGATTTTTAGCTGTCCTAAAGTCTTGCTCTTAGGAAGGCAGACCTAATAAAATATTCACCTTTATGCATTGGAAAGCAACAGTGGTATTTAATGAGCATTTCTGATCTGGAAATGTTTCTTTACATTGCTAGATAACATTAATGTAAGTAGAGACCAAGATATTGCCATCCAGGAATATACTGTTTATTAGAATTTACAATCTCATATAGCACATGAAATGTTACCACTTCTTGTGGGGAAAAACATAGTGGCCACCGACCCCAAATCCTGGTTATTATTAGTTTATTTCCTTATCAAAACCCAGAGGAGCATCATCTTCATCATTATCTACTGTTGCTCATTATAGCAAGTCCTCTTATAGCCAAAACTTCTCTGGGTTCTGCAATTATGAGAAGCTTAGACACTTACCTGTCCAATGTGCACACAATACATGTCTCTGTGAAGGCAAACTCCTTTTGGCTCACTCAGTGGGAGATAGACTTGCTATTTGAAAAATATGAACAAGAAAAGGACCAAAGTACATCTTTACCACAGTGATCCATGGTGAACATCCATTCTTTGTGATTTGATCTACTGCAAATTTTAACTTGGCCAAACAAATAGGGATATCCCCTATTAACAGACCAGGAATGTTGTAACCTGTGACCCCTGTTAAGATGAATAAATAGTTATCTTGTACTACTGTTGTGTGCTTTTTGACCTTTACAGTTTGCAACATGTGGGCATTATATAAATATTGCACTTATTTAGGTGAGGTTACATTGTTAGTAAAACATACATGGAGGTCAGTAAAAAATATATACTCAATTAAATGATCATGTATACTATACTATTCATTAAGACAGTGGAATTTCAACCTTAGTAAAAAAATATATATACATAGCAATTTCCTGGAAGCATAATTTCAATATGAATCAAGTACCAACATAACAGAAAAATGTGTGGGCCCTTAAATGTGTCTTTGAATAAACACTGTTTACTGAAAGAACCAACTTTCAATAAATGGATAAAATATAACAATCATATAAAGAGGATAATGTATAGGCATACATCCTGACAGTGTTGTACCATGTCTACATGTTTCGTTGATCTACCGCATCTTCAGGACTCGGAAGTGCCATACACCTTCAAAGTCATAACAACTCCCTGTAAAGAAGCAAAAATATATTGACATATTTTATAACAGTTGGTGTTACATTAGAGTAAATAAAAAATAGAACCCAATAGACAAATCAATATTAACAACAAGAAAATGTAAAAATCTGTCAATAACACTATGCAGAAATAACTGGTGAAAACCCATATGAAACAAACACAACATCCTAACTTAAAACTGAGCTCCAGTATTTGCACAGTCCGAAAGGAAAAACAAGCCCCTCCAGCCTGTGAGGAAGCCCTAAAGCAGGGATGTCAAACTGGCAGCCATCCAGCTGTTTCGAAACTACAACTCCCATCATGCCTCTGCCTTTGGGAGTCATGCTTTTAACTGTCAGCCTTGCAATGCCTTATGGGACTTGTAGTTTGGAAACTGGAGGGCCGCCCGTTTGACACCCCTGCCCTAGAGGAACAAAAAAAGGAGACAGAAATGCACTATGAATACAAAATATGATATAATAAAATGTAGGAATAATAAAATAAAAGACTCGCTTTATCCAGGGTCCAATGATATATTAGGAGAGAAGGAAACAATAACACCATGGCCCCAGTATATCCCTAAAAAATACAAGGGTCAAATAATGCGCAGTAATGACTAATCTTTCAAAAACATTCAGTATGTCTAGTCTTTCTGCTGCTCTGAAGCACCCAGGGGCGGACTGACCATTTGGAAACTTGGGCACTGCCCGAGGGCCCCAGGGTCAGTAGGGGGCCCCATGAGATGCCCCTGGTACCTTTTTTATAGCCTTTTTTGAGTTTGGGCAAGGACACAGGGGCCCCATGATCCCCTATTGCCCGGGGGCCCCATGAGTAGTCAGTCCGCCCCTGGAAGCACCACGAGAAATTATGCTTTTAGGGAGGAACTGGATTAACTATCCCTTCCACTGTACTCCACTCCAGAGCGTATTCAGCAGATGGGAATGAATGTCAGTATGGTGCCTGTTCCTGGTGTTGTATAATTTTCAGTTAGTCTCTAGAATGGAGCACACTAGTTCTTTTCCAGTTATCACATTGGATGTGGAGCAGGGCCCTCTTCTTGCTGGATACAATTTGGCACCTGTTTTCTGATGATGAGGAGGTGGTGGCCCTTCAGTAAGTCATGAGGTGTGTATAAGGGATGACACAAGAGGTGGGCATGTGACCATCATCCTTTGGTTGGGGTTGGATTTATTTATTTCTACAGTTTGATCTTGTGGCAGTAACACTATACATTTTTTTTGTAGATTAGTCATTACTGCACATTATCTGACCCTTGTATTTTTGAGGAAATATTGGGGCCATGGTGTTACTGTTTCTTTCTCCCCAATCTGATTATTGAACCCTGGATTAGGGTCTTTTCAGTTATTTCAACTGTAGACCTATGAATAATTTTGGCTACATATAAAGGGTGTTTCATATTCTCTGTATACTTTATAAGTGAGTATTTTGATCTCACTATTTGTCTTTGACCTTTGTACACTATTCCTATGTTGTAATATATATATATATATATATTATATATATATATATATATATGCAGAGGGGGCTTGTTTGCCCCTTTTGGGTTGCCACACACCCTTAGGGGGCAGTAATATACTGTTTATATCTAAATATCTAGCAGAATTTAATTTATTGATACCCATGCCCATAATCCTGATGTATTGAAAACCTGGGAAGCATTTAAATCTTTCCTCTGGGAATCTTTATTGCCCATATTAAAAAAATGTGAAGCATGTATCTAATGACCTGCGGGTTGACTTGGAGTGATGGGGTGTGCCAGCTGGAACAGCAGTATGCTGCTATCCCTACTGACACTGCCAGGGACTCTTGGTTATCTGCCCAGGATGCTTTAGACCATGTGGTGTCATCCTCAGTAGATAAAAAGCATTTCTTTTCTAAATTAGCATTTTATGAGGAGGGTAAGCCAGACAGGTAGATTATTGGCTAAAATACCTTGGGCTCAGCAGCCAGCAACCACCATTGTCACCTTGAGGGATAGAGATGGCAGATTTTATACCACCCCAGACTCTATTAATGCTGAACTGGCTTGGTTCTAATTTTCTTTATGTCAGTCAAACCAAACTTGCAGGCCCAAGGATATATTGACCTACCTGGCAGATATATCCATTTACAAAAGTTATCACAGCAGAGCCGTACTATGCTGGATTCTTCCCTGATGTTGAAGGAATTACAGCTGGTGACGGCTGTGTTCCCTACCAGCAAGGTGCCGGGTAATGATGGTCTGCCCATTGAGATATACAAGAAATACGGAGAGCGTATATTGCCTTTTTTGCTAAGGGTGTTGAATGAGGCCAGGGAACTGGATAGACTTATTCCCTCAATGATGAAAGCCAACATCATCCTAATATTAAATCTAGGAGAAGATCCCACTGACCTGGGACATACAGGCCAATCAAAGCATATTTAAAATTTTGGCGAATGTGCTGGCTCTCCATCTCAATAAGGTTATTTCCACGATCATACACCCTGATCAAGCTGGGTTTATGCCCCAGAAATCAACAGCTGTCAATCTTCATAGGCTGTTTCTTAACATCCAAGCTAGAGCTGACAACATAGGGGAGAGGGCACTTCTGTCCTTGGATGCTACCAAAGCTTTTGACAGCATAGAGTCGCTGTATCTCTGAGCCGTTCTCTCTCTAAGCTTGGATTTAGTCCCACTTTTACCTCTTGGGTTAAATTGTTATATGATCAACCTGTGGTGCTCATCAGAGAGGCCGGGATACTTTCTCCCACATTTCTCTGGGAAGGGGCACTCGTAAGGGATGTCCCCTGTCCCCGCTACTATTTGCAATAGCCATTGAGCCCTTGGCAGCCTCTATTAGACTCAGAACCCAGAGATTACTGGTTTTAAGTATGACACATTACATGAGAAAGTCATGCTTCATGCTGATGACACTATTTTACTATTGGGAGACACCTCTAGTTCTCTGGAGGCCACTATGGCCACTATTACTAGAGATGAGCGAAGTATTCAAAAATTCGATCGATTCGACTGATTCGGCGAATTCGTGGATGGAAAAATTTTGATTCGAGTCGAATATATTTGCTGTGAATTTAACTTAAAAAAAGGGTGTTTCTAGGCTTCAGAGAGACTTAATATTAGTGCAGAACACTGTACCTTTAATTTAAATGCCCTTGGAGTCTGCTGGGGAAGAGAAATAATACTGTCAGTCAGTATGACATGCAGATGAGTGCCGTCGATCTTAGAATCACCGCACACTTCACTCATTTGGGCAGTCACGGGGCCAAAACCAGAGTGTGGAGCCACAGTGTGGCGGTGGAGGCAGCATGCAATGGGAGGCCATACAGCACCCTATGACAAAAAAATGGAAACCACCAGCAGTGTGAGGAGACCTGAAAGTGGCACATGGCAGAGTGTGGCGATAGAGACAGCAGCAATGGGAGGCCGTACAGGGACCCATGACACACTCTGGACCTGGCAGCAGCATGAGGAGGTGGTACAGGGGCCCATGACAGATTACGGGCCTGGCAGCAGCATGAGGAGTCGGTACGGGTGCCCATGGCAGATTACGGGCCTGGCAGCAGCAATGGGAGGGCCGTACAGGGGGGACCCATGACACACTCTGGACCTGGCAGCAGCATGGGGGAGGCGGTACAGGGCCCATGACAGATTACGGGCCTGGCAGCAGCATGAGGAGTCGGTAACGGGGGCCCATGACACACTCTGGACCTGGCAGCAGCATGGGGAGGCGGTACAGGGGCGCATGACAGATTACGAGCCTGGCAGCAGCAACTTGGACAGGAGGACGTTCAGCTTCTGCACCCGTCGGGGTGCGTGCTCGCAAACCTGTTGTCTCTTGGAAACGGATTCCAAGAAAGGACTGCTGACGGAATCCGTGAAGAGGAGGAAGTAGAGCAGGAGAAGGAGCATCTGAACGAGCGGAATATGCCAAACAAGCGACAACAGGGGCCCATGACAGATTACGGGCCTGGCAGCAGCATGAGGAGTCGGTACGGGGGGCCCATGGCAGATTAGGGGCCTGGCAGCAGCTATGGGAGGCCCGTAGAATCTGCCAGCACCCTATGACAAAAAATGGAACCCACCAGCAGTGTGAGGAGACCTGAAAGTGCAACATGGCAGAGTGTGGCGATGGAGACAGCAGCAATGGGAGGCCGTACAGGGACCCATGAGAGACTCTGGACCTGGCAGCAGGCATTGAGGAGGCGGTATAGGGGCCCCATGGCAGATTAGGGGCCTGGCAGCAGCTATGGGAGGCCCGTAATCTGCCAGCACCCTATGACAAAAAATGGAACAACACACCAGCAGTGTGAGGAGACCTGAAAGTGGCACATGGCAGAGTGTGGCGATGGAGACAAGCAGCAATTGGGAGGCCGTACAGGGACCCATGAGGAAGACTCTGGACTTGGCAGCAGCATGAGGAGGCGGTATAGGGGCCTCATGGCAGATTAGGGGCCTGGCAGCAGCTATGGGGGGCCCGTAATCTGCCAGCACCCTATGACAAAAAATGGAACACACCAGCAGTGTGAGGAGACCTGAAAGTGGGCACAATGTTTGGGGCATGATTCATGGCGGATTTAGTCAGTTGTGTCAGGAACTGGTGGTTTGAAATCCAGACTAATCCACGCCTGATTCATTTTCACAAACGTGAGTCTCTCCACACTTTGGGTGGACAGTCGTGTCCTCCGCGGAGTTGCAAAAACCTCCTGCCGCACTAAACACGCGCTCCGATGCCACGCTACAGGCGGGCATGACAGCCTTTCAAGGGCAAATTCAGCTAGTTGGGGCCAAAGGTCAAGGGTTTCGTTGCCCAGTAGTCAAGGGGATTGTCTACCTCGTTTGGCAGGGTGCTGTCCAAGTAGGCCTAAGCTGTTGTTTGAGGTCCTGCTCCAGGTCCACCTGATGCTGCTTGCTGCTGCGGTCTGGTTAGTAGTTTCCTCACTGCGCTGGTGAAGAAAGTACTCTTCATCGACTGCAGACTGAGCAGCAGCCGTGCTGGTGGAGCTAGCTGCACTGCTCCTACCACCCACCCCTCCCCTGCTTGCCATGGCAGCAGAACGGCAGAACGCGCACAGGGCCCACAGAAATGTCTGAGGATTGGACGTTTGGCGCAGGACAGGAAAGAGACCAGCTGACTACATTGGTAGGTTTTTATAGTACGTTATTTTGGCTCTCCCTACTCAGCAAGGTGTGAAAAAGAGCCTCCATTTTTGAACCGGTTAGTCGAAGGGTCCAACAAGGTGGACAGACCAAAAGCACCCCCCCCCCACCCCCAAAAAAAAAAAAAAAAAAATAAAAAAAATAAAAAAACAACCCCAACAAAAAAAAAAAATCATTCCCCTTCTGTCTGATGGTTATTATTTCCGGCTGTCGCTACGCAAGGCAAGCGAGCATGCATGGGGCCATTTGTGTGCCAAGGAATGCGAGGGACTCCCTGCCTCCATCTCCACAGCATACTGCCATCGGGTGCGTCTGGGTCCACTGTCTCCTCTTCCTCCTCCTCTACCAGATGGCTCATGTCTCTCCAAACTCCGGTCCGCTCGAGTGGAAAAACCGACCCATGTCACTCAATAATTCTCTGAAGCAACCAAATGTCACTCCTATCTACCTCCTTCTCTTCTTCATGGCCTTCCCCCACAGGGGTCAATGTCGGCGTTGTGATCTCGTGCGCCACGTTCTACCGCACCCTGACCAGCACCAGTTGTTAACAGCATTTGTTCCCAGGACGTGGCGAAACAGAGAGGAATGACGTCGGGCCGTTTCATCCCATAGTCCTGCCTACTCCACGAACTCAGCGTGGCCTCCTCAAAGGGGTATGAGCAAGCGCGCATGGGTGTTCAACGCATGTAGCTGCAATGGCTGACATTCTAATGTTAACACAGGGAGTAGTACCTTTTATCCGCTTTTTAACTTCAGGAATTTCTGTGTTTGGCCTTTTTGCCTGTTCGTAAAGGCGGTTCTTACATATGTAGCGGTTTTGGGGGAAAAAATTTTTTTTTTCCCACCTTGTGGTGCAACGTCACCTGCTGAGGAGTCGGTTATAGGGGCACATGGCAGTATTAGGGGCATGGCAGCAGCTATGGTGTCGTGACAGTAAATCTGGCCAGCACCCTATGACAAAAATGGAACACACCAGCAGTGTGAGGAGACTGGAAGTGGCACATTGCAGAGTGTGGCGCATGAGAGACAGCAGCAATGGGAAGCGTACAGTGGACCCATGACAGACTCTGGACCTGGCAGCTGCCATGAGGAGGCGGTATATAGGGGCTATGGCCAGATTAGGGGCTGGCAGCAGCTATTAGGAAGGCCCTGTTAATCTGCCAGCACCCTATGTCAAAAAATTCAACACATCAGCTGTGTGTGAGGAGTGTCTACTGAAAGTGGCAATGGCACAGAGTGTGGCGTGGAGACTAGCAGGGATTGGAGCCGTACAGGGACTCCATGACAGATCTGGACTTGGCAGCAGCATGAGGACGGTGGTATATAGGGGGCCTATGGCAGATTAGGGGCCTGGCAGCTAGCTATAGGAGGCCGTAATCTTGCAGCACCCTATGTCAAAAAAATTTAACACACAGCAGTGTGAGGAGCCTGAAAGTGGCAATGGCAGGTGTGGCGATGGAGACAGAGAATGGGAGGCCCTCAGGGGACCAAAGAGAGATCTGGACCCGGGAGCAGATGAGGAGGCGGGGGTTTTAAGGGGCCTTGGCAGATTAGGGGCTGGCGCAGCTATAGGAGGCCCGTAATCTGCCAGCACCCTATGTCAAAAATTCAAAACCCCCCCAGCAGTGTGGGAGACCTGAAAGTGGCACATGGCAGGTGTGGCGAGGAGGGCAGCGCAATGGGTGGCCCTACGGGGCCCCTGACAGACTCTGGACCTGGCAGCGATGGGAGGCGGATATAGGGGCCCATGGCGTTAGGGGCCTGGCAGGCTTGGGAGGCCCGTAATCTCCAGACCTATTCAAAAAAATTGAACACACCAGCGTGTGTGAGGGGAACCCGAAATGGCACATGGCAGAGTGTGGGTGGAGACGCAGCAATGGGGCCGTTTCAGGGACCCATGACGCAGACTCTGGACTTGGCAGCAGCTAGGAGCGGTATATTGGGGCCCATGGCAGATTTAGGGGCCTGGCCAGCAGCTAATGGGAGGCCGAGTTCTGCCAGCACCCTATGACAAAAAATGGATCACAAAGCAGCAGTGTGAGGAGACCTGGGAAAGTGGCCACATGGCAGAGTGTGGGCGATGGATGACAAGCAGGCAATGCGGGAGGCCGTACAGGAAGGCAGACCCATGGACAGACTCTGGACTTGCTGCACCAGCAAGCATGAGAAGCGCGGTTGGTTGTATAGGGGCCTATGGAAGATTAGGGGGCCTGGCTAGCAGCTATAGGAGGCCGTAATCTGCCAGCACCCTATGTCAAAAATTCATCACACCAAGCAGTGTGAGGAGACCTGAAGTGGCACATGGCGAGTGTGGCGATGGAGAAGCGCAATGGGAGGCCTACAGGGACCCATGCAGACTTGGGCTTGGCAGCAGCATGAGGAGGCGGATATAGGGGCCCATGAGTTAGGGGTGGCAGCAGTTTTGGGAGGCCGTAATC